CGTGCAGGCTCTAGAACTACACGAGGGAGAGTAGTGTGTGTGTGAGAGACGGATATCCGCCATGAGACTTTCACCGACATTATTCACCAGCCGCCGGGAGGGGAAAGACGAGTGAAAAAAACTTTTACTAGGTGAAAAGTTCAATTCATAAGAAGTGGGAGAACCGGTCCGAGATCCGCGCAATCCGATCATCCAAACCAACGGGAGGGGGAGATCTCCACATACCCTCCACATACCCTCCACATACCCTCCACATACCCTCCACATACCCTCCACATACCCTCCACATACCCTCCACATACCCTCCACATACCCCGATATACCCTCCACATACCCGCTACATACCCGCTGCATACCCCGACATACCCGCTACATACCCGCTACATACCCCGATATACCCTCCACATGCCCCGACATACCCTCCACATACCCCGACATACCCTCCACATACCCTCCACATACCCCGATATACCCTCCACATACCCGCTACATACCCGCTACATACCCCGATATACCCGCTACATACCCCGATATACCCGCTACATACCCCGATATACCCGCTACATACCCCGATATACCCGCTACATACCCCGATATACCCGCTACATACCCCGATATACCCGCTACATACCCCGATATACCCGCTACATACCCCGATATACCCGCTACATACCCCGATATACCCGCTACATACCCCGATATACCCGCTACATACCCCGATATACCCGCTACATACCCCGATATACCCGCTACATACCCCGATATACCCGCTACATACCCCGATATACCCGCTACATACCCCGATATACCCGCTACATACCCCGATATACCCGCTACATACCCCGATATACCCGCTACATACCCCGATATACCCGCTACATACCCCGATATACCCGCTACATACCCCGATATACCCGCTACATACCCCGATATACCCGCTACATACCCCGATATACCCGCTACATACCCCGATATACCCGCTACATACCCCGATATACCCGCTACATACCCCGATATACCCGCTACATACCCCGATATACCCGCTACATACCCCGATATACCCGCTACATACCCCGATATACCCTCCACATACCCGCTACATACCCGCTACATACCCCGATATACCCGCTACATACCCCGATATACCCTCCACATGCCCGCTACATACCCCGACATACCCGCTACATACCCCGACATACCCGCTACATACCCCGACATACCCGCTACATACCCCGACATACCCGCTACATACCCCGACATACCCGCTACATACCCCGACATACCCGCTACATACCCCGACATACCCGCTACATACCCCGACATACCCGCTACATACCCCGACATACCCGCTACATACCCCGACATACCCGCTACATACCCCGACATACCCGCTACATACCCCGACATACCCGCTACATACCCCGACATACCCGCTACATACCCCGACATACCCGCTACATACCCCGACATACCCGCTACATACCCCGACATACCCGCTACATACCCCGACATACCCGCTACATACCCCGACATACCCGCTACATACCCCGACATACCCGCTACATACCCCGACATACCCGCTACATACCCCGACATACCCGCTACATACCCCGACATACCCGCTACATACCCCGACATACCCTCCACATACCCCGACATACCCGCTACATACCCCGACATACCCTCCACATACCCCGACATACCCTCCACATACCCCGACATACCCTCCACATACCCCGACATACCCTCCACATACCCCGACATACCCTCCACATACCCCGACATACCCTCCACATACCCCGACATACCCTCCACATACCCCGACATACCCTCCACATACCCCGACATACCCGCTACATACCCCGATATACCCTCCACATGCCCGCTACATACCCCGACATACCCTCTGCATACCCCGACATACCCGCTACACCCCGATATACCCTCCACATACCCCGGCATACCCGCTACATACCCCGATATACCCTCCACATACCCCGACATACCCGCTACATACCCCGACATACCCTCCACATACCCCGACATACCCTCCACATACCCCGACATACCCGCTACATACCCCGACATACCCGCTACATACCCCGATATACCCGGTGTGTTTCTAGTTTGATGTCCATTCGATGTAACTTTATATAACAGACAATCTCCTCCTGATCCAGAGACGGCAGAAAACCCCCATAAACTGCAAATCCCGAGTGATCCCCAATAGTCCCCTGTTGTCAGTATGGGGGCCGCCGTTACTGAGCGTCCTCTGACAATGCTCGTCGCCTGGCTGTGATACGGCCGAGTCACTGACCAGGAACAGCAGGCAGAAAGAAGAAGAAATCAAAATGAAGCCGAGACTCCTGGTACTTGTTCCGGGTCAGCGGCCTAGAAAGCCAGGGATCAGTATGACAGGAAACAAACATTTCCAGCAATGGTCACCGACGTTATATTCCCAAAAAACATTTCCAAGACAACAGGATATATCCCGGATCAACGGAGTGACACCAAGTTTTTACGGGAAAGAACCCTTTCCGCACTGTTCTTACGGGAAAGAACCCTTTCCGCACTGTTCTTACGGGAAAGAACCCTTTCCGCACTGTTCTTACGGGAAAGAACCCTTTCCGCACAGCTCCTACATACAAGAACCCTTTAAAACACAACTGTTACAGGAAAGAACCCTTTCCGCAGCTGGTGAATAAAGCTCTGTTCTCTCCAGGACAAGGGCCACCCTCAGGGAGGATATCTTCCCTCTGGATTCTCCGTGTGACCCGCTCAGTTATTTATAGCAGCCGATCATCATATCCTCGATTGCCTTTTCCCCGCGGGTGAATAATCTCTCAGCAGTTACACGTCTCATTCATCCTTCGGGCATGAAGCTGATACTGAGACTATTACGAGATACAATGTAACAAAGTAGACCCCTCCCCCCCACATTCAATGTACATGGGGGGGATTATATACAATGTATCAAACTGGATCATGCGCAGGAAGTAAAAACACCTGTGTGAGAAGCCCCAGCCAGAAGCTGCCACGCTTTCTCCCTCCAGTTCTCAGCTACGTCATTAGTCGTATGAATGAAGCTGAGTCAGGTTCTCTGCCCCGGAACCAGCAGGTGGCCCGGCAGCTCTCAGCTTCAATCTGAGGTTTCTCACACAGTATTCTGGAGGAAAGACACAAGTCCATGGAGTGCAGCCCATAGGAGACATTGGCCCTTCTCCCATGATTGGTTGCGCACACACACACACGTGATCTCGGGGTCTCACCTTGATCTTGTGCAGGGCCCGCTCCTCCTCCAGGATCTGCACCCACACCGTGATCCCCGACTTGTTATAAGTCAGCGTCCAGCCCGCCTCCGAGTCGCACTCAGTCCTGAAGTTGTGAAAGTCCCGGTCATCTGGGATCTGCACGGATTCCCTGGACATGGTGGCTGGAGGTGGTGAGGATGATGGTGGTGGTAGTAGTGGTGGTGGTGGGATGTCAGACTGAGGGGCCACTCACACGCACAGCTCGGTCAGTCAGTCTCGGTTGCTCTCCAGCACATCCATATGGCGGTCCGGGGCGGTGGATCCGGTTCTTCCAGCCAGACAGGTGCAGCAGGTCACCGCCCAGCACTGCTCCGTCACTGGCTGACAGCTGTCCGTGTGTACCCGGGGGGGGGGCGTCCTATGATGTCCGATGTACCAAGGTGAGGATGCTGAGCGAGAAAGGAGCAACCAGGCTGGGAGACATGAATATATGTGAGACGGATCTCTATGTACACACAGGGATCCCCTCCCACACTAGTGCGCACACACCCCCGGGTCACATCTGCCAGCTGCTGGGTCCTACACACTGACAGCTTCTTCCTGTGTCAGCAAAGCTGGCTCTGCCTCCTCCTGCCTCTTTCCTCTCCGTCACCCTTCCCTCTCTCCCTTCCCTAGCTCCATCCTCTCCGTCACCCTTCCCTTCCCTACCTCCATCCTCTCCGTCACCCTTCCCTCTCTCCTCTCCCTTCCGTGTCTCCAACCTCTCTGTCACCCTTCTCTTCTATCTCCCTTCTCCATCATCTCCTCTCACCCTTCCCTGTCTCATCTTCTCTGTCACTCTTCCCACTCCTCTCCTCCTTCTCTACTTCCATCATCTCCTTCACCCTTTCCTTCCCTCTCTCACTTCTCTATCTCCATCTTCTCTCATCCTTCTCTACTTCCATCCTTTCTGTCACCTTTCCCTTCCCCCTCCTCTCTCCCTTCTATACATCCATCCTCTCTGTCTCCATCCCCCTCCTCTCCCCTTTCTCAACCTCCATCATCTCCTCCTCCTCTCCCCGTCACCCATCCCTTCCCTCTCCCCCTCGTTCACCCTTCCCTTTCCTCTCTCCCTTCCCTCTCTCCTTCCTCTCCTCTCTCTCCATCCTCCATGCCACCCTTTTGGGGCCCAGGGAAGAATGGCCCCCAATTCATTGGTGTGGGTGGGAGGGATAGTGGGGATAATGTTTTTCCATTCGTTGTGGTGCTTCGGCAGCCTATTCATAACGCAACATGCGAGCCAAACGTGTAAACAAACCCCCACAGAGTGCTGTATTGGGCTTCTAAGCGATCTGCAGCGGTGCGTTAACATACAGAAGCTAATGTGCGTTGCGGTAAGGAAGTCCGGTCATTATGTGAGGCCGCCAATGTACCACAATGGATAAAAAAACGCACATGACCCTGTTGTTGAGCAATGCAGCACACAGTATATCCATCGTGGTGCCGCTCCTCACTGTACAGTGCAATTCACACAGAGCAGGTGTACAGACCCGGGAACTCAGCACAGGGATGGTGGGGGCCCCTCATAATGGGCACAGCGGGTGTGCAGACCCGGGAACTCAGCACAGGGATGGTGGGGGCCCTTCATAATGGGCACAGCGGGTGTACAGACCCGGGAACTCAGCACAGGGATGGTGGGGGCCCCTCATAATGGGCACAGGGGGTGTACAGACCCGGCATCTCACCTCATAATGGGCACAGCGGGTGTACAGACCCGGGAACTCAGCACAGGGATGGTGGGGGCCCCTCATAATGGGCACAGGGGGTGTACAGACCCGGCATCTCAGCACAGGGATGGTGGGGGCCCCTCATAATGGGCACAGGGGGTGTACAGACCCGGGATCTCAGCACAGGGATGGTGGGGGCCCCTCATAATGGGCACATCAGGTGTACAGACCCGGGAACTCGGTTATCTCACTGAGTGTTATAGAATGTCAGGGGGGGGTCATCTCTTGAGCATCTACCATGCTGACATTTGATTGGTTCTCAGGGTTCACCTCCTTTTCTATATTTCCTGCCTCCCTCTGTTTCTCCCTCCAGTCCCCTCTGACACATTGAAAGTCTTTCTATGGATCTGGCTGATTTTATCTCGGCAGTTAGTTCTCGGCGTCGCCGCTGTGTTTGATATGCGATTAGTCGGTAAATGGAAAGTCTTCATCGGCCATAAAATCTGGAAGTGGAAAGTGCGAGAAAATGTCAACAGCAATGAACCTGTTTCCAGTGAACACACCTTGTAAGTGGATCAGGAACCGGTTTGTCGGGTTGGTCAGCAGGTTGGACGACGTGAGTCCTGGAGGAGGAGGCGGTAATGAACTCATTAATATATACAAATAAGAGGCCCGGCCATTGCTGCCCCGATCCTCAGACCTGGAGGTCCCCTTACTCCGGCTATAGGGGTCAGTGCACGTTGGTGTGTTGTGATAACACGTGTCACCAGAAATGCATGTACCACAGTGCAGTGACTTTGAATAGCAACCCCAATGCAGTAACACAACACGCGTGTATTGTAACATACAAGGAGGCACACGCTCAGCTACCTTGCCATAGTAATTACTGCGCTCAGCAGCACTCTTCCTAAAAAGCACAACAAGCCACAAAGCCGGCACGACATCCACTCGTAGAAACCTTCATATCCACATATCGGGTAGAAGACAAGTGTCCCTGTGAACGCGTTTCAGCCAGTCCTGGCCTTAGTCTTGGTCTAGTTGCCATGGCTTAGGCCAGGATATGCTGAAACGGGGTTAGCAGGAAACATCCTTTTATTGATGAGTGGATGGAATGCCGGCTTCATGGATTCTTCCAACACGCAGAGGGAAATGATTTTCATGTTGCAATACATTATTATTAAAAAAAGTGGCATGCATCATTATAGCTTTATTGAGCCCATCAAAGTGAATGGATGGTGGGCTGTGCTGGGTCTCAGGTGGGCTGGGCATGGTCTATGGTGGGCTGTGCAGGGTCTATGGTGGGCTGTGTGGAGCCTAGGGTGGGCTGGGCATGGTCTATGGTGGGCTGTGCGGGGCCTATGGTGGGCTGTGCAGGGCCTATGGTGGGCTGTGCAAGGCTTATGGTGGGCTGTGCAGGGTCTCAGATGGGCTGTGCAGGGTCTCAGGTGGGCTGTGTGGGGTCTATGGTGGGCTGTGCAGGGTCGATGGTGGGCTGTGCAGGGTCGATGGTGGGCTGTGCAGGGTCGATGGTGGGCTGTGCAGGGTCGATGGTGGGCTGTGCAGGGTCGATGGTGGGCTGTGCAGGGTCGATGGTGGGCTGTGCAGGGTCGATGGTGGGCTGTGCGGGGTCTATGGTGGGCTCTATGGTGGGGGTCTATGGTGGGCCGTGCAGGGTCTATGGTGGGCCGTGCAGGGCCTATGGTGGGTTTGTTCAGGGTCTATGGTGGGCTGTGCAGAGCCTATGGTGGGCTCTGCAGGGTCTATGGTGGGCTGTGCAGGGTCTATGGCTGGCTCTATGGTGGGCTGTGTGGGGTCTATAGTGGGCTATGCAGGGCGTATGGTGGGCTGTGCTGGGTCTCAGTTGGGCTGGGCATGGTCTATGGTGGGCTGTGCAGGATCTATGGTGGGCTGTGTGGGGCCTATGGTGGGCTGTGTGGGGTCTCACCAGGGGTCCAGATTGATTTGCGGGCATGTGTGGGTGGAAACCTGTGTTAAGTCTGTGCACCAGTGTGAACCGGCCCTTATACTTCTCCAATGTCTTCATAATAATGAAAATCAATAAATTCTGATCAATATCCTGGAAGGGGGTCAGGCTCTGGGCACACCAGCGATTTCTGCTTGTATGACCAGGTCCCTAAAACCGCCCCAACCACCCGTCACGGATAACTTGCAGA